TACGTGAATGTTGCGAAGTGCAGATCAGAGTGAGACTGTGCTTTTCAAATCGACAGTAAAACACATTCAAATCGTCAGCCAGTTGTTGATTCTCTACAGAATGTGGGGGTGGTGTCTTGTACTTAGTGATGTTCTTGAGACCCGCCCATACTGACGCCGGATCGTTGGCTGAAAACTGTTTTCTCAACTTTTCAGAGTAGTTCTTTTTAGCCACTCTGATCTCCTTTGTTGGTCTGTTCCTGGCCTGGTTATACAAGATTTTATCTCCACTTCTGTAAGCATCCTCTTTGGCGTGACAAAGCTGCTGAGTTTCCCAGTCGTAAATGATAAGAATGTTCTGGTTGGAATGCACATATCTTCACAGAAACTGATATATGAAGTTACAGCCTCTGTGAGCTCATCCAGATCAGTGGCTGCAGCTTCAAAAACACTCCAATCAGTGCAGTCGAAACAGGCTGGTTATACAAGATTTTATCCCCACTTCTGTAAGCATCCTCTTTGGCGTGACAAAGCTGCTGAGTTTCCCAGTAAACCACGGTATCATTATTAAATAATAAGAATGTCCTGGTTGGAATGCACATATCTTCACAGAAACTGATATATGAAGTTACAGTCTCTGTGAGCTCATCCAGATCAGTGGCTGCAGCTTCAAAAACACTCCAATCAGTGCAGTCGAAACAGGCTTGTAAATCCCGCTCTGCTTCATTAGTCCATCTTTTAACAGTCCTTAAAACAGGTTTAGCTGATTTCAGTTTCTGCCTGTAGGTCGGTATAAGATGAACCAAATAGTGATCAGAGAGCCTCAAAGCTGCTAGTGGGACAGAGTGATATGCATCCTTTATTGCTGTGTAACAGTGATCCAATATATTACTGTCTCTGGTGGGACACGTAATGTGCTGCTTGTATTTTGGCAGTTCACGGGAGAGATTTGATTTGTTAAAATCTCCAAGAATGATTAAAATAGAGTCTGGGTACCTGTAACAAAGTTCGTAGAATGGGAAGAAGGAGGTGGGAACTGGCAAACATTAAAACATCATTTAATAATAAAATTAACAAACACAAAATAGCGCAACAGCCCCTCGCGGACGCCTGCCGTGCACAAACAGAAACAAAACAACATAAAGTCCAGGCCTGGTCCTCTCTCGTCCAACACCGTCGTCGCTCCTCCTTTTATCCTTCCGGAGCTCCTCCATCAGCCTCGCTCCGTTCCCACGGTACTTGGCCCTGCCCCACTCGTCACAGTACCTTTGCTCTATTTCAGTTATCTGTTCGGCCAGCTGTTGCATCACGACGCTCACGCGCGCATCCGGAGGCACGTACACATTCATGAGAATGAAAACGAGATTCACCAGAGGAAAACTCGCGCAGCAAGAAGAAAGGTTTACAGTTTATGAAGAGTGCCTCTAGGTTAGGACAGCATACCTTTTTCAGCGTTGTTACATCTGAATACCAACTTTCGTTGATGTAGAAACACAATCCACCACCTCTGGTTTTCCCCGTTAACTCCGCGATGCGATCCGCTCTGAACAGCTGGAAGCCCGGCAGATGAAGTGCGTTGTCCGGAATGGCTTCACTCAGCCAGGTTTCAGTGAAGCACAGTGCAGCAGAGTTTGAAAAGTCCTTGTTGGTGCGGGTGAGGAGAAAAATGTTATCCGTTTTGTTAGGAAGGGAACGGACATTCGCGAGATGAATGCTTGGGGAGCACAGTCTGAAAGCAGTGCACGCGGAGCTTTACCAGGGAGCCGGCGTGTATCCCTCTTCTGCGTCTGTAAGAGTGTTTGAACAACACAGCTGTACCTCCGACTAGAATGTCCAACAAAACGTCAGAATAATATAAAACCAGAAAAATATTGTCTGAGATGTGTTGCTTAATGTTAAGGAGTTCGTCTCTGGTAAAACTTATAGAAGAAGAATGACAAAACAGAAAAAACAAACAAAAACATCAGAAGAATTGCGTAGCTCAGCGTCGTGGCTGCCGTTTGCGGCACCTTCTTGTTCTTAAAAAAAAAAATCGGTATCTGAGTTTATCTCAGATCTGAATGATGTGATGTGTTGATGTGTGTCGATTGAGACGATTGAAGTGAATGTGGTTTGATTTCAGTCTCAAGCTGAGCACACAGAGCGTCAGATTAAACAGCAGTTTGAGAAGCTTCATCAGTTTCTCAGAGATGAAGAAGAAGCTACAATCACTGCACTGAGGGAGGAAGAGGAGCAGAAGAATCAGATGATGAAGGAGAAGCTGGAGGAGATGAACAGACACATCTCAGCTCTTAATCAGAGAATCAGAGACACGGAGGAGATGATGAGAGCCAGTGACGTCTGCTTTCTGAAGGTCTGGTTTCAGATCATTGATTGATTGATTGATTGATTGAGTTGTTGATGATAAACTGTGTGTTTGTTCTGCAGGAGTTTCCAGTCACAATGGAAAGGTGAGTGATCTGCTGCTGTCTCTGCTCTCTCTGCTTCTGATCCAAAGCCACTGCAGTTCTGATCCTGAATGTTCTTCCAGAGTCCAGATCTCATCAGAGCCGGATCCACAGACGCCTTCTGGAGCTTTGATTCATGTGCCGCGTTACTTGGGCAACCTGAGCTTCAGAGTCTGGAAGAAGATGCAGGACATGGTCCAGAACAGTGAGTCTGACTGCAGAAGATCTGAGCTCGCACACACACACACACACACTGGAAATGATGCAATATTGACAGATTTCAGCATTATGTGTGAAGAACCAGATCATCTACTGCACCAGAATCAGCAGCTTAACTTTCAGAAATAATCAATCCCAGAATTCAGTGTGCTTGACTTTCATTTTCAGTCTCATGAAAGACACAGAAGTGATTTTAGCTGTTTTTATTTCCCATATGATGACTGCTGTTTAAATACTACTTTATTTTTTTTAATTTATATTTTGAATTGGGTTTAATTTTTAGATTTTATTTTAAATAATTTACATGCTTTTGTCATTTTTATTACTTTAAAAATTTTCTATTTAGCTTCAAATTTAATATGCATAATTATACATAATTTTATTTCAGTTTTAGTTTTAGTAATTTTAATGCTTCAAGTTAATTTATTTCAATTCGTTGCCAAAATGGCTTTTCTAATTTACATTTAATTTTAATAGTTAGATTTTCATCTAATAATTATTATTTATATTATTTAAGATTTATTTTAATTAATGAAGATATTATTAATAGTTTTAGTTGTAGCGTTAACAATATAAGCAAGATTATTATTATTTAACTGTATTATCGTGGAATAAAACCTACTGTTTGTTTATTATTTTAATAAGTAGGCAGCATTCAGTAAAGAGTTTTGTGATTCATACAAGAGCAACATTGAGGAAAATTATATGGATATGAACATTATTTCTTCTGCATTATTATATTGATAATCTCGTTTGAATATGAAAGCACTGTGTAAAGCTGTGTTCAAAGGTAAGATTTTGTATTAGAAGCAGCTTCTCACTATAATTAATATAAATGAGAGCGTAAATGAAATGAATATGTTTTGAGTTTGTGTCCCTCACTGTTTCTGATGTATCTTTCAGTCTTGATAAATCACACAGAGAGTGACTGACAGCGATCAGAGGAAATATCTGATGTGTTTGATCAACAGGACGAATAATTCATAATCATCTGTGTATGGTTCACTCTTGATCATTATATGTTTACATTTAATTACATTTCCAGTTTCGGTTTGCTAAATAGTAAGGCGGCCAGAGGAAGGGAGGTGGTTTCTTCAACACTGATGTCTGGTTTGTGTGGTACGGATGGTCTTCATGTTCTGGTTTCCGTGTTAAACAGGATCTTGAGCGTGTGAGAGTGAATCTGGACTATGACGGAGGAACAGTGTCCTTCTCTGATCCTGTAACTAACACACATCTACACACATTCACAACCTCCTTCACTCACAAAGTCTTCCCATTCTTCTATTGTTATAACTCTCTGAGGATCTTAGCGATCAATAGTCAGTAATCTGTAGCTCTGAATCTTCCTGCTTTCATCTTTCATCATGTTTCAACATTTAATCACACGAGTACCAGACTGTTGCACTGAATATATGGTTGTGATCGATAGTTAGCTGAACTCTGATCACTGATGGATATTACTCAAACTCTACAGTCACGGATTCAATCTCTATAAGGTTCAGATTATCTGCAGAAGTGAAGGTAATATCAAGTAATATAATAATATCAACAAAAAAAAGTAATGGAAATTAATTATTGTGTTTTTTTTAAACAAGTGTTTTATTGTACAAAAAATAAATAATAAATAAAATAATCATTGTTTATCTTACCTGACCAAGTGGAGGTGATTTTAAGATTCATATTTTCAGGCTAACTGACATTTATCTAATTATTTCAGAGAAATGTGTCTCTTTACTCATAAAGTTGTATGCAATAATATATGTTTTTCCCCCCAGTTTATGTCAGTTACACAGATGAAATTATTATTCTTTTTCTATTGAAGTAAATGTTTAAAAGCTGCTTCAGAGTAATAAACAGAAAATTGCTCATATGTTTAATCTTTTTAAAGATTAAACAAAAATTGCTTTGATTTCAGCTCTAAAGCAGCTCTACAGAAGACGATGTAGTGTCATTGTTTCAGATAGTTCCTAATGAAGCTAAAATAATTGAATACATTTCTGTCATTTCTTCAGAATCAGTGCAGCTTTACTGACATCTAGTGGAGAAACTGGGCAACTGACTCAAAATAAGAATATCAACCAAAGGCACTAGATAGTAAACCATTTTATATTTATATTTAGACATTATAAAATTGCTCTCTGTCAAATTTAAGGCAGTTTTGTACTGAAGAATAAATAAACACCCTTTGGAGTCAGGCTAGGATAGGAATGTCAAAAGATTATAAATTATTTCTGTTTAAAGTTACTTTTTTCCCCCCCAAGAAAACTTGAGCAAATATTATGTTAAATAAATGTTTGTTTTACTAAATCTGGTTTTAAATGTGATTTTCTGCTCTGGTTTATAACCCGCCCCTCTCTGATGATTGACAGCAGCAGGAACCAATCAGCGTCTCCTGTGAAAGTGAAAGTGAAAATGGAGAGAGTACAAAGAACAGCAAACAACATCCAGACATCACACAGGGACGAACAGTCACATTTATTATCATATCAGCTGTTTGCTTACAGATAACTGAACAATCAGTACTTTTCAAATGAGCACAGAGAGACAGTTTAATGTCTGATAGGATCCACACAGAGCACAAACTTAACATTAATGCATTTTGTAGACTAATCTACATCTTCCTATTAAACGACAGCATATGAAACTATAAACAGCTTGTGCAGTAATCCAGCTTATACGTGAAATTTGCCATCAAATATGATGAAAATTACTGCTCTTACAACAAATTGCTTGTAATGATCCTCATAAGATTCAATAGAAGCTTCTGCGAAATGAACAAATCTGAACGTAACAGCAGAAAAACTAATGCCAAGTTTTCTAAGGCATCTTTCTTTATGAAAGTGATATAAATATTCTTTCAATATTACACACCACTGCCATTTATTTTTTAAGTGCACTTTTAAAATGAATCAATCAATCTGAGGTGTGTAGAGACACCTGAGCAGAATCAGTTCAGATACTGTGTCTAACGTTCATACAGAGTCAGCAGAATCCTGATTTTAGCTCAACGTGAGCTGAGAAGAGCAGCCTACTTTGATTATGGTCGCACTTAACAAGACTAATGTTACTGTGTTCATATTTACTTGTGCAATAAATTATAAAAAAAAGAAAACCGCTTAAGCCTAATTGTGTAGGCCTATATTGTATATGTGATCTCGAATTGCACAATATTTTAGTACATGCATTTGAGAGATGTTCTTTAATGTGATGAATGCACTAATCGCCTTTTTGGTAACTGCATTGCTTAACTGACGACAGAACTACATTGTATGTTCATAGTTTCTTGTTAGCTTTATTTACGATGAAGCGATAGAGCGTGGGCCTTATATTTGCCTTATACACCCCTGACCGCCCCCTTGCTCCGCCCCTGGTTTGCAGCAAACAATTTGATTTCATTTTTTTAATGATTTTTTTAAATTAAAAATGAAACAGTAAAGCAACATAAAATGTATCACAGTGGTACTTGAGCAAACAAAGGTTCCCTTTCAAGGGAACTTCGAACTGCATCCTCTAGGGGTCGCTATGGGGAACGCCTCGTCGTGACCCGTGTCTGAAGCATATATTGAAAAAACACCAACTACACATTGGCCGGCGACAGCCCATGACATCACTACCGGTGCGATTATAGTATAAATAGGTGCCGGGAGAACATGTCATTCTCTTCTTCGTCTTCACTGACCGTTTTGTTTGAAGCGTGCATTTTCGTGGTAAGAGCGATCTATATTCCTATCGTTATGGCGAGCACTAGCAAAGCGTTTAGAGGGTGTGTCGTATTTTAATGAAAAGCTCCGCTCTCGTTTGTCTCTCTTTTCGAGGAAAGGGGGGCAGCCATCTGCTTCCCGCGGCTCAGGACCCACCGCTGCTGAGGCACGGAGGAGGATGGGCTCATGGGAATGAGTTTAAAAAGGGGTTTTCCCTCTCGCGCTTGTCGGCTGTGGACGAGAGTAAGCTGCTGGAGGACCTCTGCGAGCACCCCTTTGCTGGATTCAGAAACCAGGTGCCAGGTTACCTCACTCGTCGATATTGTGTCCAGCCGGTATGATAGCCCTGGTTCCGGCTTCATGCTTCCTGGACCATGCGGCCAGGTCAGAAGCTTCTGCCCCCGGCACGACACTGCAAAAAATTCCTGGATGTCCGGGCTCCAGGATATCCCCTCTTGCTGAGGCATCAAGCGGGAATTAAAGGTGGCATTTGCGAGAACCTTCTTGTGTATGCTGTCTCAGGCAGTGCGCCCCTCGCCTTAGAGGGTCGTATTTGAGCTTGCCTCTCCCGTTTGGCCCAGTACCTCCGGGTATCTGTGATCAGATGCCTGGAAATTTAAATTTAAATGCACTTTCTGAAACCCACATAGTGGTAAGTGTGCACACTGAGCACTTTGCGCACTTTCTAAAATCCACATAAGTGGTAAGTGTGCACACTGGACTTTGCGCACTTTCTGAAATCCTGTACGGTAAGGGTCACGCGTTATAGCTTCGTTCCCTTTCTCTGAGTTGGTTAGACCCCGGTACCTTGGGCTCCACTCAACCAGTGTGTCTCTATTTTTGACACACTTGGAAGTATCGCTCCCCTCACCATTGAGGGTTACTATGAGCATGCTGCTTCCTATCGAGCGCCCGGGTTCGCTCCGTGGGCTGTTCTCGTGGTAGTATTAGCAGTGCTCCCCTTTACCAAAGGCATGCCTATGAGCGCGCTATTCTTTCTGAGTTCGGAGTTCTCCTCTCATGTGAGAGTTGAGTTCTCTGTTTTCCCAGAGCACCTGGAACCAGTAGCATCAGGTGAACTAGGCCCTTCCAAATCCGCCTCTCTGATGCGCTGAGTTTTTGGCTAGCTTGCAGTACACTTACCTCTGATTCTAACGATCATGCTGGGCGAGCCCCCTCTCTCGTCGAGAGCTGGGTCTGTGTTCCCTCAGCTAGGTAACTTTACTGCTGGCAGTTCCAGTATTGGAACATGCTGTAGGTCCGAGCCTCCCTCTCGTTTTAGAGCTGGGTCTGTGTTCCCTCAGCTAAGTAAATTATTGCTAGCTGTTCCAGCATTGGAACATGCAGTAGGTCGAGCTCCCCTCTCGTGTGAGAGCTGGGTGTTTTCCCCCTCAGCTAGAGATTTACTGCTAGCCTTTCCAGCTTTATATCTTAGATCGAGTTGGTGACTCTCAAACATATTGGGTTTGGTA